GTGACGATGAATCTCTTGATGAATAAAATACAATCAAATAAATACAATATAAACATTATATTTTACTTCGGTACAACGATAGATACACGGTGTCGATATTAATGGCTACCTGATAATTTGCGAATTGCGGAACGAAAGGGAAAGAAAATAGGAGAAAGAGAGAGAGAAAATTGGTCCGCGATGGGTCCGACCAGTTCCAATTTCCATTCTGTGTGATCAAAATAATAAAAGAACAAACGGATTAACGAACCAATACCTTTGAATGAAACTAATAAAAGAAGCAGCGACTAATCCGTCACGGAATAAATCCCAAACTAAAACATCGAGACGGAGAAATGTGAAAATCGAAGAATAAGAGAAAAAAGATATGAATATCAATGAATCGTGTGTTTTCTTTTTTTTTTTTTTTTTTTTTTTTTTTTTTNACGCACTTTATACGCTATTATTACATGATCATTACTATTACTTATTCCTTGATTTATCAACATTGTCTCGAGTAGCAATTTACAAGCTTTAGAATAATTAATCACAAAGTACAATGAGCAAAATTGGCAAACTTGTTTCACATTAAAATGGTATTAGAATGAAGATCAATAAAAAGTAGCGAATATGATATAGAAAAAACGATAAATAACAGAAATAATCTCGTTAATGTTCGATAGGAGGAAGAGGATAGCTAAATCTGACGTTTTCATTAACGTTTATGCAACTTTTGTCGGATTAAAGTCAATCGTGTATGTATAAGTTGTGCCTATGTAAAAGAGTCTATATGTCTTTCATTAGCAAAAGTAGGAAAAAAGAAAAGAAAAGAAAAGAAAAAAGAAGAAGAAAATCTGGTGCGTTTCGTAGAACGACGTGCAACATAGGCGTGGACAAACGAGAGGAAAAATGGCGGGGTTTGGAAATGAGATTTGCTGGTAAACCGACAATTTATCGTAGGTATCTGCGAAAGCATCTCTTGACGTTTCTCTGACCAGAGTTATAATTAATACGCTCTCGTCACAGAGCGCGCGCTTCGACCAATATTCCGTGGGACGAGTGTCCCCCACATACACACATATATATATATATATATATAGATACCATACACGAACGTATAGATACAGTACGCGAACACACACCCACACACAAACATACACATGTATATGTATATATTTGTGTATATATCAATATGTTGGAGGATGTTAACAAATACGTAGAAACGTACGCAGGTACACACATACAGAGGCAAGGGTCTCTAACAACACGCGAGTGACGTCGCACGCGCGCAGACCGACGCGTAACCGGTTGTTGATTAAGTTTGAATGACTGATGCCGCAAAAACACATTAAAACTTGAATGAGTACAGATGAAAATTTAGTCGCTAGGAATCAAGAGACCGCAGAGGCAAATGGCCTGGCAGCCGCACATAGTCCACGGCTTGTGGACCCTCCGTCTCTCTCTCTCTCTCTCTCTCTCTTCTCTCTTTCTCTCAATTACTATCTCTCTTTACCTCTCCTTCCTCTCTTTCACGCTCTTGCTCGAATACCTATCGAAATATTGGCAACCGAAAAACGCTCACCGATTGCTATATCCGCTGTTGGGCAACCGTTTCGTCTGGCTAGTCCACCGCAGCGGAAACAGAACGTACACCACCACGATGGTTTACAACCATAACTTTTTTCTCAAAGATCGAGCCTAGTCTATTTTTAAAGAACAACTTTTTCATTGATTTATATATATGTATACTTCTCTTACTGAGAAATTGGATATTCTTAAACATTTAAGAACGTTGGATACTTTTCATTGGATACCATCGATCGTTAAACGTTACTTTGGACGAATGAAGGAAACTATTCGATTCGTAAGACCTTAATTGGCCGAACACTCGTTTCTCTCGTCGATGATAGTTATCCTTTTCTATCTCTCTATCCTTCCAGTTAGTCTCCAAATCGGGTATATACCCACGAGTCCACCAAGAATCCCATCTGCATTCGGTTACGAGCACGATCCATCTTGCGGCAGCGAGAACACGTCCCGTGGAATTCTATCTTTCTCTCTCTCTATCTCCCTATCTCTCTATCTATCTCTCTCTTTATCTTTCATCCCTTCTACTCGAAACAATTGACCACTCCGGGACGATCAGCTCGATCTCGTAGTCTCGTAAATACATCGTCGAATCCGATGGGTCGGTCATCGAAAAGGATGGAATCCGATCGAAATGGACGCCGCCATCGTTGCCATCTCTCGAGATATCGTGTGCCTTTCGAAGAGAGAGAGAGAGAGAGAGAGAGAGAGAGAGAGAGAGAGAGANAGAGAGAGAGAGAGAGAGAGAAAGAGAGAAAGAGATGATCGTTTAATTCTAATAAAAATCGTCAACCGGATCGTATCTCACGCTACCGATTACTACCACCACTACTAATACTATTACTACTACTACTACTACTATTACTCTCTTTCTCTTATTCCATAGTCTCTCACTTAGTAGCTTACAATCTATCTATCTTCTCTCTTTCTCCTTCTCTCTAACTCTCCAATGTCCAATCGGAGTCTACCATCGGCACTTAATGTATTCAAATGTAAGCGGTAGTAGTGTTTATGTCTTGACATTGCAAATTGTCCCGGCTATGCCATAACTTATAGTAATCGCTGTGCGCCGGAGTAATTATTTATACTCTGTGATATAGCGCACACTGGCTTTCGTACTTCGGGTTATTCTCTATCTCTTTCTCTTTCTCTCTCTCTCTCTCTCTCTCTCTCTCTCTCTCTCTGTGTGTGTCTAGAATGTAGAAGAATCTATAGGAGCAATACATGTATATATATGTATATACATAAATGTGTTCATGAGTGCGTGAGAACGAGGGATAAGAGAGTTTGGTTCGACGTGTGCGTGAAGAATATCCTCTCCCTGGTTGGAGAGACGTACAGGGTTTGATATTAATCTCCAATCTGCACGCACGAATCGGGCGACTTCGATGCCACGCATCCACCAACGAGCTACTCTCTCAGATCGATGCACCTATGCCGGAGGAGATTTCTTCGCGAGGTTAGTAAAAAAAACTCTTTTTTCTTTTCTTTTTTCTATTACTTATTCTTTTTTCCTTTCTCTTTTCTTATTATACTTACCATCATCTTCATTTTTCGATCTGAATAACGAATTTGTCACGTCTTCCTTTTGCACAAGAAACCTTCGTCGTTTCTTCTCTCTCTTTCTCTCTCTCTCTATCTTTCTCTCTTTTCTATTTTTTGTTTTTTGATATCATCGAGTCTCTAGTTAATTTTAATCAAGTGTAATACTTTGTTTTTATTTTTCTTCCATTTAATCCTTTAGATCGATAATCAACCTTCGTAATATGCCTACTAGATTGGTGTATTTTCTAACAAACGTTAATCATAATTAATATACAATTTTTAGTGCATATTGTATCGGTGCGATTATATTTTATTTAAATAAACTTTTTATCTTTGTTAGAAATTTTGTCAAATTAGTTTTAATTAAGATTTAATACTATCACTATGTAGTCTTGATTTTCTAACAATACGATTCCTAGAAATTTAAATAAATTGATATCCTGCCAATTATATATATCCTATTCTAAGTAGATTAATTTGAAAAATCGCGGTAAGTATTAGCGTCGGATGTTCCTGGTGCCATCTCTCGGGTTGCGTTGAAAGCAAACGTTTTAGATTCAAATAAATTGTTGAAAAAGTTACATCGTATAATTACGTTCTGAAAAAAAAGGTTAAAAAAAAAAATAAAATAAAAAAACAATTACATTCATACTAGAGCGTAGAAAATGCACACAATATAAAGATATAAAAAAAAATAAATAAAAAAATAAATAAATAAAACGAATATAAAATATAAAACGAGTACTTAATTAATACATTATTATTGATCGATACTTATCGTTGAAAATATATTCGTGGATAATTAGTAGAGTTTTAATTCACTTCGGTCTTAAAAAAAAAAAAGAAACAAAAAAAAACAAAAAAAAAACAAAAAAAAAAAAAACAAAAGAAAGAATAAATATTGAACGAAACGGAGATACGAGTATAATAAAATAAACTATTTCTCTAGACACGATAAACACTGACTTGAATTTCTTGAATATAACGCTTATATAAGAGTAAAGCAGCCGAGTATCCGAGGTTTCTGTCGATAAATCAGTTCAAGCATTGAGTCGATGAGAGAACGAGGGGTAGTTTTGCGGTGTAACAGGTGGTTGAAATTCTCGTTCGCCTGTACCTTTTTACTCCTTTATCAGCAAAAAAAGAAGGAATAAGTTCCAGCTTATGAACCGGAGCGCGTTTAATGCTCCTTAAAAGGGTAAAGCGTCTCCCGCCCGATAACTTTTTCAACAAAGCCGATGCGAAACTCTCTCTCTCTCTCTCTCTCTCTCTCACTTTTTCTTTTTCTCTTTTTTTTCCTTTTTTTTCCTTTTTTTTCCTTTTTTTCTTTCTCCATCTTTTTTATTTTTCTCTACCTTTTTTCTTTCTTTTCATCTCCTTCCCCATTTCTTTCTCTTTCACATTTTCTATACCCTAAAAGAGAAATATTAAAAGAGACACATTAATTTGATAAACAAAAGTCCAACTCTCTATAAATAGTTTATTTCAATATTATGCTATATGTATCACAAAACCCTTAATACTATATAAGCTTACAACGACAAATACCATGATTTGATTTTCATTTATCGTTCGTTAATTCTAAATTAATAATTAAGTTATATTTAAATTGTCAACTATTTACAGAATTGTACACGAGCGAGGCTTATTGTTAGTATGTGAATTAAGTGACATTTATATGTCTCTTATAATTTGCGTTGTCAAGTTACAATTATAAGATCCTTGTGAAAAGTATTATTTGTTTGATTTTATGTTAGCACACACATAGAAAATAAAGAAATAATAACTTTTCGTCTTTTGGCACAATTAATTATTGTTATATTAAAATTGAGATAATTCTATTAAAATTATTGTCTCTTTTTCTGTTTTTTTTTTTGTTTTTTTGTTTGTTTTGTTTGTTTTGTTTGTTATATGTATTACGAGTGAAAGAATTTCAATGATAAGAAAAAGAAAGAACTATAATTTTTCAATCATAAATAATATCGCAATACATAACGTAGATAAAAATATTAATGAAACATATAATTAACCCTTATTGGTCGCTAACTTTTTATACAAGATTTCTCACTAATTTACACTTGGCTGATTTAAACATGCAAAATAATTGTCAATATTAAAAGAATATGATTTTTCTTTTAAATTATTTTTTGTGAAAAAGTCCCTATTTTATTACTGTTGTCACATAAGTGATGATTTACGACCATTAAGGATTAACCTCATTTGAAATTATTGATCAATCATAAATACTAATCTTGAATAAGTTAAGATTTTTTACGTCATTTTTTGGAGGAGAATAAAAAAAAAATCACAAAAAAAATACATTTTATATCAATCTATTTCAAAGCAAGGAGACCGGACTACCATGGTCTCCACATATCTCCATTCGAAGAAGATGAACCAGCAGAATTAGAAAAAACATGTGAGGTATTGATATTAGAACGATTTGTATTAAAACTCGTCGATGATGATGAATTTATTGTTTGATCCTCCATGTTAATTCCATGGCCATTTACATTTTTCTTTTCCTTAGATGATATGATTGAAGACGACGTTTCGTCTTCCATTTTTTGTTTTTTATCAGGAATAATTAATAGCCTATTAGAAGCGCTTCTTTTGAGATCGTTGCTGCTTAAAGATGAACATGGACGATTGTAAGCTCTATCGGTGATAACTGAAAGTGGTTGTCGTAAATTATTCATCGAGGAAATGGAATCCACCTGTTCGGAAAAATTGCGAATATGTTCTTTTCTTATGTTATCATTAATTCCTGGTCTAATATCAATTGACGTTGTTAACAAAGGTGATTTTCTATCGCTGCTTGAAGATATCTGAAACTTTTGCGTTTCCGGTGTACTGGTAAAACTTTTACCACTACTAGAACTTTGTTCAGGTGCCTTGAATTTGGTATTTTGATGCGTTTGCTGGTAACATTCCATTTGAGGATTTTCTTCTCCGAAGCTAGACGTAGACGTTGATGGACTTTCCAGAGGACTGCGTGCTCTTTGTACCGATGAAAAAGCAGATGATGTCATTGTCCTAGATATTGATTCAGGTAATGGTGGGAAAAATGAAAAGTTTGTAGACATTGCTGCTGATTGTGGGACTAACAGTGCCAATTCTCCCGTTGGAAGTCTACTAGGTATCAACTGAACACCGTTAGGTATCTGTATCCGTGCACTAGCATTATTATTCTCATCTCCATTGGCTAGATCGCTGTGGTAGCCGACCTTTACCTCCGGATAGAGACGTTCCGGCATGTAGGGCACGTAATGGCTGTAGAACGGTCCCATTTGTTGGAGATTACTAACGTAATTGTTCAGGTGCGATAGCAGACGCTGTTTCACACCGGGATCGACGTTCTCTAGGTTGCTGACGTACCGCGATACTTCCATGGCACATTCGGAAAATCCGGAACGGAATTTCGTAAGTACCGCTGGGTCCGTAGCTACTGCAGTATTCAATTGCTGACGTTGTACGGTTTGTAAGTGTTTTACCGTCATCTCAAGAATATCGGCTTTCTCAATCTTTGAGTGTCTCGTCGGCTATAAGAACAGAAAAAATCCTTCAATTAGAATAAAAACCTTTATAATAAATAACTTTTTGAAAAACACATTTTTTTTTTTTAATAAATTTTAGATTATATTCTTTAACCTTATCGATTAATGATATTTTATCGATAATAGATAAGCATTACTGTCTGTTGGTAGTGAAAAAAATATTGTGTTACGTCGTACTAACAGGAATCTATATTATCCACTGATGGTAAGACGAAAAATAAAAGAACACTCATAGAAAATACAATATTTCCTCGGAGATCAGTAAACATTTCTGCCTCGAGCATTGCTCTTGGACATAAAAGGTGAATACCGATTATATATCAAAGCAATGACCAGGCAACGCCCATGTAATTGAGTCTACCTAAGTTATTACCATAATGAGAGACCTGAAACGTCAGTAGCTTACAACTTATTTTATTGTGAGCCCTAAAGCATGTGATTTAGATTCAGCAATATTTTTAAATTGTAATATCGCCAATGTTGTACGTGACTATTAACTGCATTCTGAAGCAATAATCGAGATTATTTATTGTACAGTCATGAAAGATCTTTATTTATAGTTATCACCCGATTATACAATTAATAAACTATATATAAAAAGTATATAAATATATATTAAAAAGTAACTAAAAAATTAAAAGAACATTAAATAAATCAAATCGATTTAGGAAAAAAAGATATAGGAAAAACTGTGGGATCGAGAGAAATTGATCTTCTCATGGGAACACATTTGAAAAATATCCCTAAGAAGGTTTTAGGATTCTACTAGAAAACCTGCTATTCTAGAGCGAGTTATATTCTTCGGAAAGCCCTTTAACACAGTTAAGTCGAAACTCTATTGTATCCTTTCGTCCCATTGATATGAATCTATTCACAATTTAAGGTTTTATTGTAGAAAACTTGTGACGATTCAAAGGAACACTCATACAACTCGAACAACAACAACAACAACAACAACAACAACATTGAAATTCTGTTTATTTGTCAACAATCGCAGATTATATTATAGAAACACTTCTCGCATACGTAAGATTAATAGATATTACTTTTATTAAAATAATCAAAAATGTTTGAATATATTATAATAAATTAATTAGAACATTTGAAAAGAAACAAAAGTTACAATTTTTCAAATTCGATTTCCGGACCATGATGCACCTGCTAAAAAAGCAAGGCCAGGGAAGTGAAGAAAACAGCTCACCTTCCCCTTTTTTTCACGTAGAACGTGAAGGTGGATCCTTAAAGATGATACGGTCAACAAAAGGGAGACTGGAACCTGAGATGAGATTTTTTTTGCCCTTGGTAATAATTATTTCATGGTTCCCACGAACGCGGGGGGCGTTTCGTGTGGACGAAAGTGTATATGTGAGAAAGAGAGATATACCGAAGAGAAGAAAAAAAAAGGAAAGATAGAGACAGAGAGAGAGAGAGAGAGAGAGAGAGAAATAGAGAAATAGAAAGAGAAAGAGACAGAGAGAGAGAGAGAGAGAGAGAGAGAGAGAGACAGTGTGTGTGTGTGTGTGTGTTGAACGGACAGACAACGGAGGTAAGCAGGTAGCGGAAGTCATCTGGACGAAAGAGAAGAGAGAACGGTGAGAGCGTCTCGCCTTGTTACATAGTCTGTCTGAGAAATCAATCTTGAAGGATCGTGTTACGCGGTGGGATGGAGGGGGAGAACTGTTAGAATCTTCCTTCTTTTACGTGAAATCGAGGAAGTTGCCAACGGGATGCATCCTTTTTTTCATTTTCTCTCGTTTTTTTCTTCTTCTTCTTCTTTCTTTCTTTCTTCCTTTCCTTATTTTAACCCTAACCGAAACGAGACATAATAACACTCCCACCCCCACCCCCAACCCCACACCTTTTTTTTCTTTCGCTATACCAACAGGACGTGCTTGGTAATAAATAATTACAAATTAATTGCACGGATCGTTAATTATTATGCATTTGTATGATTCAAAAAGAATAAGGAACATTTTTGTATTATGTAATCGATATTTTTAATTGAGCATGGTATGTTTTTTAAAAGATCAGGTTTGTTTGCTTTGTTAAAGGATCCCTTTTCTACTTATTCATTCCCACGCTTTTAAATAAGTAAAATCCTAAGACAAGACCAACTACAACGAGTGGTTCTGGACTAATGTTTTTAAACGAAAGGCGTTTCCTTTGATTTTCTTTTTAAATAAGTCGTTAGTCTCATCGCAATTTCGACATAATTTCAATCCGTAATCCCTAAATTAAATTAAATTTATACTCTTATTAATAATATATATAATTTTGTATAATTTTACATAATTCCTTATGTGTGTGTGTGTGTGTTGTTTCTTCAATCCTCATATCATAACAAGTATAATATAATAATAATGTTTCGTTAATGTTCAAAATAATGTAAAATAATTTTGTTTATAATGTTCTATTTTCCAATCGACGCTGTACAACAATGTTTATCTTATCTTTGTTGTTTATTTATTTATATATTCATTTGCCAACTCGTTATGCTAATCAACTATCGTCTACTTGAAACTTTGAAACAACGTTTACTACCTAAACTTGAATAGACTCTAACAATAAACCAAATACAAATATTTATAAATACTGACAATTTGAAACCACTTTCGTTATATTCAAAATGATTTCTAAATTCTAAATTCTTTTACAAACGTACGACGTAGTATTGAAAAAAGAGTGGGGAAAATGGCACACAACGATGAACAGTAATCTCGTGATATCATTGGATCATTTTGCTGATGTTGTAGTTTATTATGAGTTTTAAGTTCATTTTTCGTTTCACTAAAGCAAAATCTAAATGTTAAAAGTCAATGAATAATAATTTTTAAGTAAAAAATATTTTATTATATTATTTTATTAAATAATAATTGTAGTCCCGCATGAATCATTCGATCAATAAAAAACATAAGTTTGTGTGAACGTGATAAGGGAGTCTAATCGTAACACGACGTATAATTTTGTGGTTCTAAAAGGACTCCGTGAAAGGTCAGTTTTAAAAACCAAAAGGACAATCTATTGGAAAAACGAACAAAAAAGACCAAAAACTTTACGACCATCTACAAGGACGAATAAAATTTCCACAGTCTAACACGACACGTTTTTACCATCGTTTTTACGTAATTTTACAACTACATTAAAGTTTCTTAAATAATACTCATATAATTTTAATCGTAACTTTCTATACATATTTTTTTTTTATCATAAAAATAAATAATATCACTTAATAATATCACTGAATAATGTAGAATTATAATATATTTCAAATTATTCTACTTACATCTTTTTTTAACGCTTCGAGAATAAGATTTTTTAGTTCGTCCAAGCATTGATTTATTCGTGCTCGTCTTCGTTTTTCCATGATCGGTTTGTTGTTCTGAAATTTATATAATTTCTATTTTAATAATAATAATTAATGTGGTAATCTCAAAAAACAAGAGATAATCATTCGTCTATCACGTTGTAAACACGATTCCCGCGCAAATTGTAGCAAAAAAGAATCAAATAAATACAACAAAAATTTCTGTAAAAATTACTCGTAATAATTGGTTTATCGAAATGTTAAAGATTAATAAACAAACAAATATTAAAGATTAATGTGTAAAATTCTATATATGTATATATACCCTTCTAAGTTCTGCCTTGGTCATTCCTTGCTGTGATTGTTGATCAAAATCCTCCTCGCTTGCTGACATTTTGTAATTATTGTAATCCACCATTTATGAAAAATATGTGAAACTCAAAATCACACACACTACTCCAAACGAATATTTTAATTATTCATTCGAGTAGAGTGCAACGTGTTTTTTATTGCACTTATTCTCGATTTTAATGATTTTTTGAACAACACTCACACATCACACATGTATTACTCCTTAAATCTCAAGCGTGAAAAATATTTCCACATTTTGATTAAGTAATTTATCGAAGTTGTTTTCAAGTAAGGAATAAGAACCTTTAGAAACTAAACAGACCAACTACTCGCTTAGGATATTTCAGGGTAACTGTTTGACGTTTCGATTTGGAAGATCGCATGCCGATGCACTCGCAGGCTCAAGGAGTGGGGTGAGGTTTTCCTCAGGAGTTGGGGAGAGGGTATACTAAGGGTGGGGAGACTTTCGGCCCTCCTGAGACCTGTTGATGTGTGGGAATTCACGCCGTCCTCCAGGGATATATTTGATTCGTCATAGTATATAAGCTCTAATATAGCTCTCCTTATTTGTTTTTTGTTTCAAATATTAACACAGAAATAATTAAACAATTTTTATATTAAAATAAATCTATTTAAAGATAAAAAAAATAAATTTTTTATAATTTTTTATAATAACTTAAACATTCAGTTATATATAGTTATTATATATACGCAATAATTTAATTATAATTTAAATATATATACATTTATTTATATATATAAAAGTATTTATAATAACTGAAATATTTCAATCATTCCTTAAATTAATATTAATTAAATTTGAAATATATTTTTGGTCATTGTGTATTATTAAATAAAAAGAACAACTCCAAAAAATTATTGAATTTATCAAAAAAAAATAAAAATAATTAAAAATGGAAGAGTAATGGAAAGCATGCATAAGGTATAGGAGCGGTAAAGCGTAAAGACACGCAATAGAAAATCATCTGATAGAGAAGGGCACACATACGTTTACCCCTCGTAACAACGTATGAGTAAATGTGCGCACGTCATAAGTGTGGCCAGCGTGCGCAATGCGATCCGAACGCAATGTGCACGAATGCACGCGAGGCGAAAAAAAAGGGGTCTCCTGTGGGAATTCTCTTACAACGTTTAAACATTTGTTTGAACGAAAAAAATACATACAGCTAGAAGAACGTCGTGTGTATTCTCACCGATATAATACACGTTTCTTTCTTTGCATCAAGCAAGCACGCAACTGTTGTCCTCCTTTTCAGAAATGTACGAATAAATTGAAAACAAAAATTAGGTTATTCGTATTTTTTTGTTTTTCTTTCCAAATTGTTAACAAATTTATTTCTTACAATAATTGTACTTGAAAATATTTTCTAATATTTTTACAAGCACCAATCTGATACAAAATGATGATAAAAATATTAGATTTTTGAAGAATAGTTTAAGAAAAGTTTTAGACTGATCGATGGTACTCTTGTACATGATCAAAAACTCTGCAAAAAAAATATGTATATATAAATTGTAAAAATAATAGTGATTATGAGTAAAAATTAATGTATTGTATTCTGTGAACACGTGTAAGAAAGAAAGCTTAAAGGACTGAAAAGTAATAAAATGTTCTTTGAAAGAAATTTTTTTCTTTGTTGATAGGATCAGTAATTATTTGATTTCTAAAAAAAAAGATATAATAGTTTGATGTATAAAGTTTTACGACGTGCCATGATCACCTTTGTTAAAAAAAAAAATTTTTGCTTATTGATACTTAAAAAAATGTTTCTAAGGTCGATGCTATAAAATAAAAACTCTATAGTTCGTCTTTTACGATGATTTTTTGTTGTACTGTATTCGGCAGGTAAAAAAGGTAGAAAGATGATGACCATCATAGACGGAAAATACCGTAAGGAAATCTAACATTGTTATTTGTTAAAGATTCTTTTTCTTTTTTTTCGACTCGTTAGAAAAGACAAATTATGATTTCGTTTTTTTTTTTTTTTTAGTAACTGTCGATTTATTTTAACAGTTTGAGTAGATCAAATTTTTATATCATATAAAAAAACATAAAATAATATTATGCAACAATCGTTTTAGAATAATTTTAAAAAATCAAAGATCAACATTTATTTGTCGAACATTTAGTAAAATACTTGAAAAGTTCTTAAAAATAAAACAGCTGTTTCGTGAGTACTTAAAAATGTTTAGCATTAATACTACTTGTAAAAAAAAAAAAAAAAAAAATAAAATGTTGAAGAGTATGAGAATCGAGCAGATGTAGATGCAAATCTAATAAAAGTCAAAGTGCCAGACGTAAACTTGAAAAATCAAGATTTGCGAGTTAACAAGATGAGATCATAGGATAAATCACTTTCGATTCGTTTGGTCAACATACCGCAGCATGATTACACGATTACAATAACACGCCACGATTCTCGAGATTCGCGATAAACGATAAGGAAACAGGGGTGTTCCGGTTCGTTCGTGTACAAAATAATCAGACAAATTTCAAAAGACGTACAATTTCTTTTGAAATTTCATCTACTTTAAATACCGTTTGACATAATAATACCATTTGTTTCGATAAGCATCGAATAAATTCGTTCATTAGCAGCTGCCATGTTGAGAGAGAGAGAGAGATAGAGAGAGAGAGAACAGAATTGATAATAAACAATAGATTATAATAGATTTTAATGATTATTATTTACGATATAATATAATTGCAAAAAAATAAATCCATTAATTTTATTTTTATTAAAAACAATATAACTTGGAAATATTGAACTTTCTTCATTTAAGATTAATACTGAAATATTCGTAAGTTATGTGAAAAACATTTTGTATTTTTACCTAGAACGAATCCCGTTAGGTTTGGTCAAAAGAAAACGTCTATCATAGTTGTCAATTTTTTACGGTTTCATACGGAAACCTACCAAAGATCTGTAAATGTATAATGTACCGTGGTGAACTGCTGCATTGTCCCCGAGGATAGTATATATTATTACGTGGTCCCTATAAAGCAACTATAAGCAAAGTAAAAAAAAGAATCCAAAACTTCCTCTCTCTTTCTCTGTCTATTACATTCTCTCCCTCTTCCTCTTTTTCATCTTTTTATAGCATCTTACATCTGCGAGCATCCGAGTTCGAAACTCGGAAGTCCCTGGAGGGTAACGAGTGGCTAGCATTCAAGAAAAACTGTCGACCTTGAAATTAAACTTTTTTTTTCTTCTTCTTCTTCTTCTTTTTAATACAAGTTCCTTAACTTGATCAGCAACCATCCCAACCCACCCCTTTAACCCTTGAACTACGTCATACATACCGTTATAATTGTAGTACAGACCCCACATCTGCTTTTAAAGAGAATAGAATCCTTTCTCGAAATATTTTTGTTGAATTCCTTAAACTTCGGATAGAAAAGATGTAGGAAGAGGAAGAGGAACAGGAAGAGGAAGAGAAATTGAATCGATAGATTGATACAGTTTTACGAAAGAGAGACAATTTTGTGAAACTCCCATTGTTCAAAAATACCGTTTCACCCTTACAAATCATCAAGGACTCTTTTACTGCGTAACTTTTCACAAATTTTATTCTACCTTTTATAGCGAGAAGAAGGTTTGTTCGAACCTTTTTATTAACATCACGAGTAGAAGAGTAAGAAACAGTAGGTGGGTGGAAAAAAGGAAGGAGTAAAAATAGAAGAGAAATCGAAAGGAAGAAGAGCAAAGAGTTTTGACAATTTTAAATGTTTACGCGTTAACTTGACCACAAAGCATGGATCTTTCTTTTCATATTTCTTTTCCTATTTCTCTCTCTCTCTCTCTCTCTCTCTCTCTCTCTTGTTCTCTCTCCCTTGATCTCTCTTCCTTGATCTCAAAAGAGTGCTCGAGAAAGCGAACTAAATTCGGGGTTTCGATTCGAAGTTCTCACCCCCGTTAAAGGATCCTTCATCTTCGTTCTTCGATCCCAGGATGGCACCTGCACCAAGTTGTTGGCACCCACGCCGATCTTCCCGTAGATTTGACAGGAAGGAAACATTATCCTTCAATCCTAAGGATCTTGCTTCCGTTTATAACACGCCTAGATTCACCCTCCTACTCATTCCTATATCCCATAGTATCCATAATTACTTCCCATTTTTCTTTCAATATCAGAGAAAAACTCCCACGGTTGTGGTTAAAAAGAAAAAGAAGTGGAAAAACCAATTTTTTTTTTTTTTTTTCAAAGCAAAAATCCGTTCTAGTATACATCATCAAATTCTCATTTTTATTAACACGAAACAAATGGTTTCCTTAAAAAGTAACAGGCCTGTTGTTCGTTAGGGGAGGTCGTATGGTTTACATCTGGAATATTAGGGAAATCGTTCATATTCTGTTCAAAATATAACTCCTTTTCATAGGGTGTGTTTCATGGAATAGGAAACAAATTCAATGTGTGTTAGACAAATGATAAAAATATCTTTGTTCATTACGATTTCTATAAAGGGTAACTATAATTAACAACCCTGATATATTATCCAACATATAAAATCCGATTGTATGTCAAACATGTCCCATTCATTACAATTGTGTCACGGACTCAGTTAAGTGATTAGGTGTTATTTTGACTACTGGTGTTGAGCAAGTAAACCTACAATTCTGTTTACAAATCTGTTTATTATTGATGATTAGAATTTGTAAAAATCCACAAAAAAAAAACAACTATAGGAAGTCATTAAACTGAAGATTTGTATGGGTCGGAAGAAAATGTATACTTATTCCTGATTCATAGTATTCCCTAGTAATCATCCAGTTTTGCAAAGTGAGGTAGACACGAAGTAGTTGCGAAACAACTAGTGGTATTACCAGATTTATTCTTAGTTTATACTCTTCCGCATCGAGATTTCTCTTCATCTTCCCTTTCACCCTGCCCCTTAGTAATCGTCGTCGTCATCGTAGTCGTCGTAGTATCGTCGTCAACCTTAAGCTCGCAAAAGTTCGTGCTGTTCGTGGGCCAGAAGGGCGTGCAAGGGATCACCTGGCAAAGGTTCCCACGTTTCTGTGATTCGCGTTTGGCTTCACCCTTTGCCTAACATTCCGTCGTCCTCGTCCTCGTCCTCGTCGTAGTCGTCGTAGTCGTCGTAGTCGTCGTAGTCGTCGTGACGGTGGATTTTTAGAAGTCCCATAATGGGCACGTAGTATACACGTTTATAAGTGGGGAGGTAGAAGTGCGAGAAAGAGAAAGAGAAAGAAAAAGAAAATAAAGAAAGGAGAAGAAGAAGAAGAGGGTAAAAAGGCTGGAGGGGAAAAAAAAGCTTAAAGAAACGAGGTTTGCTTGCCTCGTGCATCTATTATAGGTG